ATTCAGTTATTATCTAATTTAATTTATCTTGGACAATTATTACATTTAAGTGTTGGACGTAAACCAGTATTGAGAATATTTCGTATTGCTAATAAAATTGCATTGGATGAATTAAACAATAGACCACAATATTATTGTCAAGTATGTTATAATGATGACTGTGTTTGGTTTATTTTTTTTTCTTTTCAAATCCTCTATTTAAAATGTTTCTAATTGACTGTTATAGTGTTTTGAATGGAGAAATTATTACTATTATTATCAATCATGTATTAGTTATGAGCGATACACATAATCTTTAGAACCTTAAGTAAAAAGTGATGGTCGTCAGCGTTCTTTCATACCGCTGCAGAATGTCATAAATTGACCCCACCTATTTCGCTGTGTACCAACTTCGAAAAGTGATGCACTACTGTGTTGTAGGTTACTTATATCCACATAAGTAGTATATAATGATGGTCAGACATAGAATGTATTTCAGTAGAAGATCGATAAGGAAAGAACGGGAATGGAACGCAGTTGGTATGAACAATAGAATCTGAGACTGATATTCGCAAAAGGAACGGTCAAATTTGAGACGATGGATTGATACTTTGTAATTTCGTGTCACATACATTCGATTGTCCCCACTCGTGTCTCTATTCACTACATTGCGTGGGAGATGCTGGGTTAGATTCATAACAGATGTCCAGGTTACTGAACCTAGTGTTTTAGGATGACGACAATCACTGAATTCTCGTCATTGCGTCCCAACTCTCATTGTTGAACGTCATTATTACCAGCATGGTGTTGCCATCAAATATCATCACTTCAGAGGAGTCGGATTGTTCTCATGGAACTATTGTAAACCGAACCCTTCACAGTTAAACTAACACCACAATAGCACCAAAACGATCTAGATCAATGTAAGCTGACCTGACTTTTACTATATGTAGATTGATTCCATCACTTACACCCGACCCACCATCAATACTCGTACAACTATCGAGATATGGAATTTTCACTACACATTTCCATCCGTCATATAGAAGCCAGTGAATGTAATAATACTTAACAGTCGAAATGGCATTACGACTTCTGTTTTCAGAATGGGTTTTGTGGAGAGTTTTAGAAATTTCACAGGTTGAAATCATGAGTCAAGTGAAATTTCTAAAACTCTCCACAAAACCCATTCTGATAATAATCAACTGCTCACTAGTGACTGACTTCAGGAAAAACTCCTGGAGTTCTAGTGAGAAGCCGTTACCAGTGGACTTCAACCAGGTCTGTTGGGAGATAACAACTCACTGAAGACAATAGTGTACGGTGGCGCAAATTCGTGGATTGGTTGAAGTTAGACATTAACACCGATGGATGCCGGCTCAATGGTCTAGTGGTTAAGTGCTCGCGCGCGAAGCCAGTAGGTCCTGGGTTCGAACCCCGCGAGGTGTGGGGTCGTGGATGCGCACTGCTGAGGAGTCCCGTACTAGGACGAATCGGCCGTCCAGTGCTTCCAGGTTTTCTATGGTGGTCTAGCTTCAATCGACTCATGATTTCGACTTCTGTTTTATCACCTAACTTAATTTGAAACTTTCGAATCTCATGTACACCTTCCTGTTTCTTTTTTACAGAGGCTACTGGCGTTGAAATTGACTACCGGCCTTTTATTACGTCTACCCCATCCGAATACAACGCAATTATTTGATATGTTCTCACTAAATACTCAACCTTCAAGTGGTTCTAACAATCAATCAGATGAAAATCCATCCGTTGAAAAACAAGTTCCAGCTTATTTCGCCTACTTAAGATCTGCTTCGAAATTAATAAGTCGAGAATTCCGTCAGCGTGAACGATTAGCTTTTACAGCAGCTTCATCGTTAGCTTCAGCTGTCAACGATGATACAACAGATATTGGCGCTAGAATACGACTACGTGGTATGCATCTTTCTAGAGAACTTACGGTCAGAGCGAAATCAAGACAAAGAAGAGCACAGGTGGGTTGGATGATCGGTTTTTATTTTCTGTATCGTTTATTGTGTGATGTGCATTCGAGTATACATAATTGAACAACTTAAAGGGGAATTCTCAGAATCCTAGTTCAACCATGTTGAGAATGAGATAAGCATCACTGATAACAAGTGATGGTTGCCACACGACATCGCAAATTCCGGATCACAGGGACTCAATGGTATAAAAGTTACACACTTGACTCGATGTCTGGAGATTGTAGGTTCAACCCTTACAGGAAATCGTGGATGCACACCACTGAATCCCCATACTAGGGCAAAAAGACTGTCTAGTGCTTCATGTTTTCCAATGTCATTCTCAGATGTAGACTATTTTCTAACCATCTTATAAATTTGTGAGTTGATATATTGTTTCCTTTCGTTTGTTTTAAAGGCTCGCCTTCGTCGTGCACTCATGTCAGGTACAATTAGACCAGAGAGTGCGAACAGTCTTGTTGCCTCTGTATCAGCTGGAATGGCAAAGGCAGGACCTGATCAATTAGTTGAATTAATTGAGTCAACTGAATCTGCTCTCACCCAAGAACTTGGTGGTGGAAATCACCAACTCATTCAAATTATATGCAGTCGTGCATCGTTAGGCGCTCGTGCTATTCGAGAACGACGTAATTTGCATAAAGCCACTCGTAATGCTCTTGGCATGGCATGGAATGGTCCAGTAAAAAAGAAATCCAAGCTACCAGATGTAACATCTCAACCTTTGGAAATGAATAATTCCAGTGAGAACGAAATTCACACATCTAATCGGTTGCAAAAAAGAAAATTATCTCCGAATGAAGGTAATCTATTTTATATGTTCTGAATGGTTCAGTCGAATGTAATCAGACTGATTAGTATATATATAGCTAGTTGAAATGCCTATTCCTCTGCTTCAGTTTAGGCAACCGTAAATCATGACTCAGTCAGTCATACGCAATGTATAACATCCACATGTGTAAATCGTTTTAAGTTGCCACACACTACTGGCACATCGAGATGATATAGTCAGAGCGAATTCCACAGTAATAGATGTAGTTGTAATAGAAAAGATTATGCATCGAAGGTGCGATGCGAGAAAGTACAAATTATCAAAATAAACAAATGTATGGAAAATTTAAAGACTTACGATCTACAGGAAGGCAAAATGCGAATGGACTCACACCATTTCAGGTGCGTTACCTAGAAGCTCCAGCCATTGGTCACGACAATGATACGGACTCGAACCAAATAATCTGCACCTACCTAAATGACTTAGTCTAACTGGTGTGCCGTCATAGTTTTCTTACATTCTACTCTTACACCAGTTAGTGGATGGACATAAGTATCACATGCCCTGGCCATGTTAGTCGATAAAAATTCGCTACCTGTTACGACTTTTGCCCCGTTAACTATTACTTGACTAAATCACCAATTAGAACACCACTTACACGACCTTAACTAGTACTCTGTGTTTAACTTCAGTATTCCCAACTCGGTAGTTCCAATGTGTAAGACACCTGTGATCGAACAATAGTGACCTACGAATATCATCTACTTCCAAGGGCCATGTTTCACAATCATAAAGTAGAATGAAACAAACTACTGTACAGTAAACTCGTCCATTGGTCGGTCGACAGTTATCTCACCTACGCCATAAGTGACCCAAGTTGATAAAAACCTGCCGAGATTTCTGAATTTCTATCGCGATTTCATCAGACATCATAACTAGTCACTGCACTTAAAGCGTAACTCAAAGCCGATTGTCAAAAAGCTTGTACTTAGGTAGATTCAAGTTACATGAGTAAATTTGCGTTCGATTCACTCTCTGTTTGTTTTAGAAGATGAGATTCACATTTCATCAGTTTGATGTTCATTGGACGAATATCTACCACATGTTATTACAGAACTATTTAGCAGCAATGTACAAACTGCTAAATATACTTAAGTTGTGATCCATAGAGTGTTTGATCGTTAAACTGCTTGGTCAGTGTTAGTTATAACTAGGCGGAGAGAAGTACAGCCATATTATCACTATCATTCGGTCACTACTTAACCACCCTATTGATGGAGTCCATCATATAGAACTAAGTAATTCCCTTTTTGTTTTCTTTTTCATCTTTGTAGAACATAATCAAAAAGCCACACAGCACAAGAAAACGAAAAAACCGCGAACAAGTTTGTGAAAGCACTTTGTAATCCTGTATTTTTTCTTGTCTACAATAAATATAAATCAATCAATTGTGAATTTGTGCTTCTGTTATAGTGTAGTACAATTAGTTTCACTAGGAACAGGGTTTTAATATTAGGTTGTGGAAAACCGACCACCTTTGTGATTTTCTAACCAAAATACACTATTACTTCTGATAAACGAATTATAGTCATCCATCTGACAATCATATCTAATACTGCTTTAAAATGTGCGACTACATAACCATATCTCTGTTAATTATACACCTTACAAATAACATTACCTGATGACTTGCTGACTAATGCGTGTCTAAAAAGTATAGACTTTTTAATTATACTCTGCCGAACGATAATGCATGATCTGTGGTTCGAAATCTTGAAAAGTATGACTAAGATTTGTTTACAGTAGTGCAGTTGCATCCGTGATGAAATTCAATGGCAGTTTATTGAATTGAATAAGATTATGGTAGTTGTACGACGCTTAATACAATAAACAAACGAATCACCACCAGTCAGGAATGCAAACTATCAAAATTTTTTGTTTTTAAAATATATTTAATACTGGTCACATCTTGACGTGATATAGCTCAGAATTAGTCATCATAGGGTAGATGCATTCAGACCAATGCTTTATCTACTGAGATAGCTGCTAACTTGTTCAGTGGGTATGATGCTTATGTTCCTTATTAGTAAAGGTTCGAATTATTTTGTTTTTAATATACAGGACTGGATTTTGATCAAATTTTGTTGGTATATGTGCGGATTACTTTGATATAGCCAGTTTGTCACAACTTTTCTAGACGATGGATTGTTGCTAGTAGCGGAATCTAGGACGTGCGTTTTACCCTGCAACTATTAATAAAGAGATAATCACTGTAGACTATATAAACCATAAGAAATAAATAGTGGTTCATATTCAGTGCATAACTTATTTCTAAACCTAACAAGAATCCTATTGAATATTATCCACAATAATTTACAGCTGTCTTCATCAATACTTTAATATCCAAAAGATTCAAGCTACAACATTGGAACTTTGTAGTATTATTCTCGTTTCCCGGCATTGTAATAACCTTGAATAAATATCCGCAAAACTAAAAAAACACTGCACAAAGATAAGCGATAAAGAACGGATAAAATGTGGTCAGTGGCAGAGAGTCCAAGATGCACATTTCTCCTAATTAAGATTTGTCGACTGAGGCACCAACAATGGGACAATCCAAACCAATTCAAAATAAACATTGTAAATCAACAAATTTATTTTCTGCTAAATTCTACATAGAGATGCACATTATCAGTTAATAAACATTTCGTTAATCCTTGAGGATAAACTCTGAATCCTTGAAAATATTTTTAAAGAATACATTCAATTAATTTTATTTAACCTACTTGAAATAAAAGTGGTCCTTCAAGATCTTTATCACGTAAATGTAGAAAGAAGTCTTGTTTAAATCGAAATAAACTAGGTGGAGACCACTAAAATAAAATGAGATAAATAAAAATTCCAATGGGAAAAAGAAAACAATCATTGGATATAGTATAAACTTACTCTACCAAGAAACGCATAATTAGTTACACTTAATAAAGGTGGAATAGCAAATGTTATTCCGGTTACTATTGAAAGCGCTGGAAGAATTTCATACCACATCACGGTGAAGATTACTAAAGCAAAGAAAGTAACAGAAAACCATTGAAATGTACAATTACTATGAACTTATTTATTTTAACACATAGACATTGGTACAAGGAGGCACCAAATACATATGCGCCATACAAATCTCACTCGATATGTGTGAGGGCTGTGATACGGCCCGAATGCCCAAACCGAAGCAGGTGGTTTTCTTGGGGGGCCACTCCCCGAGCCTTCGACCTGAAGGTCCGATCCACAAGGCAGTGGAGCATCGTGAGGAGATGCAGTCTCATGGACGCTGGTGACCAACAATTGGTTCATACGCCATTTGTTCCCGCAGGATACTGGAGCCCATGTGCACCATTGATTTGGTTTGGGGTCCGGTTAAAGTGCCGGACATTCGCTTTTCGTCCTCTCATTTTTGTAAACAACACCCTCGTCACAAGAAGGCAGTGAGTAGGACTTCCCTGGCAGAGGCTAGATACGCGTGGCCGTGTGAGAGCATTTGGAGAGGGAGAGCGGACTCTCCCCACTCTCGGTCGTACCTACTGGTTAAGAATGTATAAATATGCACTAATTCACAGTAACTAGTCAATGTTAACAATTATCTGATGAACAGATTTCCTTTGGTTGCATTTCTTACAAAGTCATAGGTGCGTGCTGTTGACGAGTTCGGAACGAGGAGGAATGAACAGTTTAGTGGTCCCTTATTTTTTCAATGGTTAAGATCATGAGTCAGTTGTCAGCGTTTCTCCGGATAACATCAATTTCCGATTGAAGATTTCTTTAAATAATAAGGATAATGAATGGTTAGAGAACAAACATTCTTTAATGATCTGAAGGATAAGTCAGTCAGCCATACGCAACAAAGAAACTGACATATACGCCCATCAGTTTGAATAGCCATGCCATATTAGAACAAAGATAAAATTAGAAGACTAGTATTTGAACGAAGAATATTCTTTTCGATAAATTCTCTTCAGGTTTTACAAGTTATATAACCAAATTAATAATCCGAAAAATGGCCAGGTTAAGGGCAAAGTATATCGTTTAAAGCATGTGAATTTAGGATTGTGATATACAAAATACAATAAAATTGTTAATGTTAATATAACTCATATAGAATGTAAACTTGAATCAACTTATATGTTAAGTAAAATTTTAAGACCCATGATCAGAATAAATATGGGTCAAACAGGATGAGAGAGAAATAATAGTGCAATTACAATTCGATCAAATAAGTATAATGACGAGGATCTTTAAAAGATCAATACACCGCCACTTTATGTAGACGGTGGTTAGACATAAGTAACGCATATCTCAACTATTTCAACCTCATTGTAATATTTACCTATCACATGTCTAATCTCGGGGTCACTAACTTGGTGGTCCAAAAATACATGAGCGATACTTTGAAGACGCACCATCGAATACTAATAATCTAGTGATACCCTGTTCATCAAAACTGTTCACCAATTTGTAGAAAGAACTAGTCCAAACGTAACTTCATCTGTGAACAGATAGAAATTTGGGTTAGAACAGCAATACACTAGCAGTAGTTAGTAAACAGGACGGTTCTTCTCAGCCACGACTAGCCGTCTTCTGATAAACGGACTAAAACGTATACTTTTTAGATATGACTGATACAACCAAGAGCAACGAGCAACCCCCTTTTCCTTTCGTCCAGCTGCACGTTTATAACCAAAACAATGAATATTATTTATTTGAACACATTGGTACGGAGGAGCACCGAATACATATGCGCCACACAAGTCACTTGATTTGTGTGTGAACTGTGATACTACCGGGGTGCGCAGACCAAAGCAGGTGGTTTTCTTAGGGTGCCACACCCCAAGCCTTCGACCTAAAGGTCTAATCCACTAGGCATTGGGGCAGCGTTATAAGATGCAGTCCCATGGTAACCGGTGACCAATAATTGGTTCATACGCCATTTGTTTCCTTAGGACCCTGAAGCCCATGTGCACCATTGATTTGGAACCAAGGTTTTCCAACTGCCCTAGGTGAGTCCTCCATATCCACCGACCCGGTTAGATATTCTCTTTTCTTCCTCTCAATTTAGCAAACAACACCAGTGGTGCGAGGTGGTGAGTAGGACTAATTATTTGCTCTTATTGTGTCCGATTTCCTTGTCTTTATGAAAACTCAGATACAGTAACGACGAAAATACCTTCGAGTGAATCAAACTCAAAATTTCTGACCAATCACAATCCTATTTACTTACATTCGGGTTTCACAAGTGATAACTAAGAACATAATCAATGTGTATACAGACATTCTGACATATATAGAGATAATCTTACAGGCAACTAGCCGTGTTCGTTAGCTATTTTAAAAAGAATTAAGGCGAAACAATCTTCCTACATACAATCCATAAGTTGAAGTGCAAAAATAATACTGTGCAACTATACAATAACACGTCCCAACTACTAACATTAGAAAGCTCTTGAACGCGCCCAGAACAAGGGTTTAGAATTGTGCGGGCCACTTCAATATTCAATTAGAAATGTATTCAATGTGAGATAACCGAACTGTATAGATAAGGGTGAAAACTGTGTGATCTGCGAAGTAGTTACTGATATTTCGTTATGCAAATAGTAGTCAATTGTAAAACATGAATCAGGCATAGACAGTAAGATGGAGATGATAATCCATAGATTCAGATTCAGATTCAGATTTGTGTAGTAAGGACAGAAGGCCTACGGCCTATGTTATTCCTTTTCTAGTATGCTTCTGTGAGTGTCCAGTCTTCTCTTGAAAGAGTCAATTGAAGGTGCGGATACCACTGCTTCAGGCAGCAGGTTCCAAGTATTGATGACTCGGTGTGAAAACCTGTATGCCAGAGGTATTTTGTTCGTTCTTGGCTTTTCTACTCGCCTACTATGTCCTCTGAGGTGTCCCGATCTAGTGGGAAGAAAGAGAGAGAATAAGTTAGGTCCGAAATCATTTCTCAGTATTCTGTACATCAATATTAGATCTCCCCTTAGTCTGCGATAGGACAGAGTAAGGAGGTTCAGTTTTTCAAGCCGCTCTTCATATGATAAACCCCGGAGTTCCGGAATCGCACGCGTAGCTGCCCTCTGTACCTTTTCTAGTATGTCTGAGTCACCTTTTAAACAGGGGCTTGCAGCCTGAACACAGTTCTCTAACTTAGTTCTCACTAAGGATGTGTATAATGTGGTGAACATGGTAGTATCAAGCTTAGTGAATGTCCTTTTTAAAGCCCAGAGGGTTCGAAACCCCTTAACTGCGACCTCCCGGCAATGGGCCGTCGTCTTAAGATCATTGCTCACTGTCACCCCTAGGTCCTTATGAGACCGGACTACGGGTAATGACACATCTCCTATGTTGTACGTATTAACCTTTGAATCCCCCAAGTGCATGTAGACACACTTTTCCGAGTTGATAGGCATTAGCCACTCTTTAGACCAGTTTATCATATTATTTAAGTCCGCCTGAAGAGTAAATGTGTCTGTGTCTCCAGTTATTACTCGCCAAATTTTTACATCGTCAGCGTATAATAACATTGGAGACTGTACTATACTTGTAAGATCATTAACGTACATTATAAAAAGTAAAGGACCTAGGACGGAACCTTGGGGTACTCCACTAAGTACTGGTCTCCAGATGGAGCACTTGGAATTTATTCTTACTTTTTGCCTACGACCTACCAGGAAATCCTTAATCCATTTTAAAAGAGGTCCGGCAATACCAAGGTTTGCCAACTTCAATAGCAGTCTATTAGTTGGCACCTTGTCAAAAGCCTTACTGAAGTCTATGTAGACAACATCCACTGAGTTTCCGTTGTCTAGCGCATTAATCCAGAGCTCCCTAGCTATAAGGAGGTTCGTTGTACAGGATAGACCCTTTCTAAAACCATGTTGTGCCATGTTCAGCAAGTTATTGGTTTCCATAAATGCTGTTATGGTCCGTTTGATTATCCTTTCCAGTATTTTAATAACAACACTGGTGAGGCTTACGGGTCTGTAATTTGATGGAACTTGTCGTAGACCAGTTTTATGTATGGGAGTGACGATTGCGTCCTTCCAGTCCATAGGTAACACACCTTGGTCAAGTGACATTTTGAATATCACAGTCAGTGGGGCTGCGATATATTCGGCAATATGTCTCAAGATTTTAGGGTGTAGTTCATCTGGTCCTGTTGACTTCTCCATATTTAGGGTGCTAAGAGCCTTAAGCACATCGTTTTGGTCGAAGTCCACGGTGAGCAGCTGGTTTGTTGACTCTGTAATTGGGTCTGGTTCTTTCTCTAGAGGAGGTTCCTGAGTGAAAACTGCCCCAAAGTAGTCAGCCATAATCTCAGCTTTTTCCTGATCTTCCTCTATCATTTCAGATTCACTTCCTACTTTAATTAGGTTGGGAATCCAGTGATGAGTCCTTGTTCTGTAGTTTATGTACGAGAATATCCTCTTGGGCTGCTTGAGTGCAGATTCTGCCAGCTGCATTTCGTATTTTCTTTGCGCTTCCCGAATTTTCGTTATACACACGTTTCTTATCGATCTGTAGTGTTCCATCGTATCTGCTGTGCCAAGGCGGATGGCAACATCCCAGCATTTCTTCTTTTGTCTTAGTAAGCGTCGAATATCCCGCCCTAACCAGGGATGTCCGTGCTTCTTTTTCTTTGGGACAGTCCAGGGTATATATGGTTGAGTTACCCGATTGTATAACTGTCTGAATAGAGTCCATGCCTCTTGTACTGATGCCTTTGAGTCAATTTCCCAGTTCTCAGCCGATGCTGCGGAGTCAATTGCCTGCATATCTGCCTTCCATATGTTAGGACGGGCCGGCGCAATTGTTTGAGAAGCAATTTCAGCCATGAATTTGAATAAGATGACTGCATGGTCACTTCTCCCAAGTGGTGGGAGAAAAGCCGTTTGACCAACGTCCTCACCGTGTGTGAAGACTAAATCTAAAAGAGAGGAAGAGTTTCTTAAGTCGTATCTTGTGGGATCTCTAATGTGTTGGAATAATGCTAGTCCAATCGAGGTTTCTAACAGTTTGGAGTCGAACGACGATATAGATGACTCTACTTCTAAGTTAACCCAGTTTATATATGGTGCATTAAAGTCGCCTACTACAAGGCTTTTACCGTTGTTACACCAGGACTTAAGTTTACTGAGGAGAAAATCGTCTGCTACACATTCTGGACTGCGATAAACTACAACTAATTCAATATCTTGCCTTCGGCATTTCAACTTACATCTCACCAGTTCACATGTCCCTGAAACATGTGCTACTGTCTCAGCTAATCTTATGGTTAGGGTACTTTTCGTGTACACAATAACCCCGCCTCCCCTTCGGTTTAATCTATCAGCCCTACTGGTTATGAAACCAGTCAATTGGATTTCACTATCTAATACTTCTGACGTTAACCAAGTTTCCGAGACAGCGATAACGTCCGGTTTTTCTTTATCCACCACTGACTTCAGCTCCGCCATTTTATTTAGTAGGCTGCGAGCATTTGTGTAGCACACTTTTAAGTCTGTGGAGAGGGTTTGTCAAGTTTTCACTTGAGCGCATATTTGGGTGTTCGCTCTTTGATTTGCAGTCTTTCGACAGCTGTCTTGAGGGGTTTGGTGATGATGTTCTGGTAGTATGTCAAACGTAGATATAACGAACTATATGTTTTTTAAATAAACGATAAGGCTTTTGATCATGGAGATATATTCCGTTTGTTTTAGTCTCTCGGATTATTCAGGACAAAAAAGTTAATTAATAGTTACAAAGATGATGGAATGACGTGTAATAACGTCTTACTGTGAATGATTGCTGATGTATCAGTCTACAAATGGGGATTTATGAGTATCCGTAGCGAGTCCTAGCCCTAACCTTATATTATCTCTTGAGGAAGTTCCGGTTTCATTTTTGGAGGAAGAACTCCATCTAAGAAGCTGTAAGAGGAGAAGGGGTTAGGTCACCTGCCGGTTTTGGGGCTTTGATGGGAAATTCTTCGAGGATAACCTTGACGATTGCATTAGAAACCGTTTTAAGAATTACTATGTCAGGAGGGAATATGCTATTCAGTGTATTTTAGAGCATGCTAAAGCAGGATATTACTTTTCTAGAGCCTGGTGGAAGTAGTTCTGACTGAAGAAGTCAGAGTCTGTACCTAGCATCCTGTTGTACATTGACTAGCTCAAATTCATCGTCCTACTCTCCATACTCTTGAAAATCTATATAGAATCGAATATCGTCATGTCGTAATAGACTGGGAATGAAGGTTTCAGAATAGTAAATAGTCGGAGTTTAGCAGAGATTTGTAGCAAAAGCATGTGATTACAACCGGATATTAGCTCTTTCACGGATATTTCAACAGACATTTATTTGTGAAGCAGATACTTTGAGAAATAAGGTCTCCTATGTCGTAAAAAATATCAAATTACTTTTAGCTGTTACGTTATTGTGCGAAAACAACAACGCACGTGCAGTCGCCCCACACTCGATTAGGTAGTTCAATACGTAGCATATTTGTTACTTTACATGTGCTTTCAACGGGGACATTTCGGTTATCTTACGGTTGATACCGTCTTAAAAGGAAGTTTATGTATGAAGTATTGCTATGTAACTAGAATATGTTGGAACAACTGAACTGTTAATATAACCGGATGTCGCGTTGTGAACCGAAGCGTAATTGTCTGCTGAAACAACACTTATATGTCATCTTATTAATGGTGAAGTCTAATCAGGTCAGTTTGCTCTTTAACTTTCTGCGTTAAAGTTGACAACAGGTTCTTATTCCCTACGGAGATACCTCATAGCTACGCAGATCTGTCTATTCAGACCATCATCAAATGTATATTGGCTAATGAAAAATAACCGCTAGCTGCAATTCCTAGAAGGACATTCGCTGAACACGAAATGATCATGAAATTTGACACGAGCTTATAAATCACCAAGATAACTGACAGTACAATATATAGACGACGCAGTTCAAAAAATGGTCTGTACAGACGTTTAAAAAGTTGAGTGATCATGTATATTTTCAGTAAATAAGTGTAAGATCCAAACTACGGCTTGGACTGCTAATTGAACTTCCCTACATGTATATACTTGCCCTTTGTTTCTATTGATCCCCTTAGTTGTACATTGTTGTCTTTTGACTGCATTTGAATTGTTAATATTTGTATTTTATTACAGTTTTATTTTTATTACGCCTTCACTAAGTTTTCGTGTTTCTTCCCGAACTGCATCAGTGTTGTTTTACTTGCCACTTATTCTTGGCGGTAGCCATATTGATTTGATCCTCCTTTTGTGTGTGTTCTATCCAGTCAGAATAGAATAACGTTCATTTGTTGTGATTGGTAATTTTCCCTCATCTTTCATCAACTACTTTATTTATTGTAATTTAGATTTTATTGATTGAACAATTATTGGTTGAATAGCCGGGTGGTAATATTTGTTTAGGTAACGATTTACATTTAAATTTATGATGAATTATAGAACCGCTATTTACCCGATTACTTGTTTTGATTTCG